TTAGAGTGGAGAGCGTTTCCTCAGCTTTGCCCACTGGGTGATGTCGGGCAGACAGGTGTCATCCTGCCTTGTCCGTTTCAGAGGCCGTACCCCTGTTGGCCTGATCCCTGCAGACCTGGAAAACAGCTTCTGGCCTGAGCGACCCCAGGGAGCCTGCTGGGGCCCTCCTTATGTGGAGGAGTTGGACCGGGGGAGTTCGGGTCTAGCGGCTTCCCAGGGATTGGTTTTTTTGTTTGATAGAGATCTACGTTCCCCTAGGGCAGATTTTCACTTTCAAGATGATCCTTTTACCCGTTGGGAGCCTAATCCAGGGTAAAGAGGATAGTTCCAGGCTAGAGGGCGCCCTGGGGTCTGCCTCCCTCCCCCATAGCCAGGCCAGGGCCTAAGTAAGCAGTTCCCAGGGTATGTGGGGCGAGAGGGGAGTGGGGGAGCCAGGACCCGCCTCCATCCTTCACAAGGGGAGGCCGTGCAGGTGCTGCCTGATGGGCAGAACGACAGCAGGGACTCTTTCTTCCACACCCCTTTCCTTACGGTTTCTCCCTCTCCTGAGTTCTGAGCGGCTGCCCTGATAACGTCTCAGCTCCCTCTTCTCCGTCGTTCCCCACGTGAAAGTCTCTCCTCGATCTCGAGGGGAGAGCGGATTTCCATTTAGGGTTGAAAGAACTGTCAGCTGAAGGCACACTGCCCTGAAGTGGCAAAGGTTTCTGCCCAGGCAGCAGCCCAGTGGCATGTCTTGTCCTAAGAGGTGTTGAAAGGGGGATGCCAGCATCTCCGAAGGTCTGCCCAGGAGGCCTCTGAGGTTATCCCGTTCGCTGAGACGCTGGGGTAAAAATGCACGCTTTGCCCACGCCTTGGGGGAGGAAACTTTATTTATCGCCAAGGAAAGGTGTCTTCTTGCACCTAGACTGGGAGATGTGATTCTCCCTGTGGGAGAGAGACTCTCCTTCCCCAGTTTAAGCACACACTTTTCTCTGGTGGTACCAAACTCGGTACCACCATTTCAGAGCCAAGTGGGTGCTTGCCCCTTGGAAGCTGGGACATTGTCTCGGAGAAGTCAGGGGCCCATGCCGATGGGGGGCTTCAGTGCTTTCCTTCTTGGCATTGATGGCCAGCAGTGTGTGAGCTCTGCCTGCTCTGAAGGAGCCCCGTGCGTGGAGGGTTGGTCCGAGAGGCACAGACGGAGCTGATGATGAGCCGTGAACTGCCCCCTGCAGGGAGGGGCCACCTTCCAGAGCCACAAAACTCCAACAGACAGGTCTCCAAGCCAGAGGGTATTTTAAAATTTTGTTTTAATCCCTAGGAAAGACGATTCTTGCTTATTAAGAGAGATTTTCCCCATTTTGTGCAAGCACAGTGTTTCTCATAAGTCTTTGGAGGTCCTTTATTAAATACACACACACACTCATCCTTATTTAAAAGTTATTTTATGCCTCAGAACATGCTAATTCCTTGAGTTTGGATTTCAAAAGCCTTTTTGGTTCTTAGCAAATTAGAGCTGGAGAGGGACCGGCGGCTGTCAGGGAGGACTCCGAGGATATGCAGGGAGGCCTGGGCTTGTCACAGTTTCTGGTTGGAGGTGCCTGGAGGTCTGAGAATGCATATTCAGTAGAGCAGCTTTCTTTTGGTAGTTCTAGGCCACAGAAACTAATACGCAACATCTTCTTGGGAATACACAGAAAAGAGAGTGAGAGAGTCTTGCAGGGAGCGTTGAGAAACACTGATCAGGTCCAAGTCCATATTCATAAGGACCTGAGGCCCAGAGAGGGCAAGACACCTGCCCAGGGTTCCACAGCAGTAAGGCGGGAGTCTTGACCCAGGTCTCTTGACCCTCATGCCAACTATGGCTTTTTTCCTGAGGCTGACAGTTAGCCAGGGCGAATTATTTTGTAGTGTTCATGGTTTATTGTTGAATAAATTTATGGAACATCGGCTCACATTATTTTCCCGTGGCATACGTTATCTGGTTTAATTCTCACGTGAGCACTGTGCACAGTTTTCATTTTCTCCCTTTACGGCTGAGGGAATCGTGGCTTAGAGAGATGAAGCCACTTGTCAGAGGTGGCACAGCCCATAAATGGCAGAGCTGAAGGTCAGATTGGAGTCTCCTAACCCCGGGGCCCAGTGCCCTTTCGTTGCACAGTGAGGCAGCCTCTGGGTGACGCTCCGAGGATGTGACTTCTCTGTGATTCTTGTCTCCACTGCCCCCAAGGCGGGCGGCTGTACGTCTGTCATGCTGTCTTGCTTCTGCTCCTTTGAGTGAAGTCAGGTCACACCCGCCTTGCCCACAAGGCCATCTCCAACTCCCCTCCTTGGCAGACTCTCTGATTTCCCGTTAATTAGTGAGGGATTATTCTAGAACAGCCTCCCTCGTGTTAAGCACATGGTCCGTTCTTGGGGGTCCTGGATCCCTCCTGACTCCCGGGCACCGCTCGGGGGACACGTGCTGGTGTCCCGCGTGGCCGAGTGTCCCTCCCAGGCGGTGACGTTGTCCATCTTCCTCCCAGGTATGTGAGACTCTGCGAGGTGGTCGACCACGTTTTCCCCTTGCTGAAAAGGAGCCATTCTTCAGACTTTCCCTGTTCAGATACATTCAGTAACTTCACCTTTTGGAGAGAACCACCGCCACCCTTTGAAAACCAGGACGTTCATTCTGCATCAGCATAGTACGTTCCGGGCCACTTCCTGGCATCCTGTGGAGATCAGGCGCCCCCATTAAAGGATAGGTTTGGGAACCTGCAGTCATTTGCTTAAGAGCAGAGGAGCATTTCTCTCCCGGTGCCCCTGGCCGGGGTTGACATTTCTAAGCGATGTGTACGTCCTAGACGGGGCGTCGGGTGCGTCCCTGGTGGGGAGGCCATGCCCGGTTGAGGCTTCGAGCCTGTGGCAGCGCTGCCCTCCCCAGCCTGCTGCAGGTGGGAGCGGTTAGTGTGCAAGATGGGCTGTGAAGCGGGGTCCCTGTGATGATGGGATCCAAGGAGGGGCACCAGGTGTGCACGACTTCTGGGAGAGCGGGGGACACATTTGTGCCACGTGGAGGGCTGTGCAGGGTCCCGTGACCTGAATCTGAGGTCTCGGAAGGGACTCCAAACCCCACCGTTCTGGGCCTTGACCTTGCGGATGTCCCTGTGTGGTGTTTGCCGACTGGTCTGATGGTTTTAATTCCTCTGGTTAAAGCTAACCTATGTAACTGGCATATTTTCCCCTACCTTTGTGGCACAAGGCTGGAATATTTATGCCTTAACGCACCCGTGGCAGATGTTTTATTTAGAATGTGCTTTTTCCAGCTTCCTGTACCTCTGCGATGCCTTAAGTTCAGATTATAGGAAATATTATTAGGGCAGTATTTCGAATCAGTTCGACACTCTGCCAGCAACCTGTCTGGCAACGCGCTGCTGAAAACGTGGGCTCGCGCAGAGCTTATGCCGAGCGGTGACGGTGTCAGTTTCTTTTGGGAGCTCTCAACAGAAACTGGTTGGTTTTAAGAAAATAGTTTGAAGAAGTTAAATTATATTCTTTGTAGATAGTATTATTTATTACCTTACTCTGATTGGGTTACTGCTATAAGCATTTTAGCCATGTTCTTTCTATTATAACTGTCAGTAATACATTAAAAAGATATACGTGTTAGACCATCCAAAGAGCCTTATTCTGTAATTCTCACAGCACTGACCTTCTTTTGGAATTTATGAGTCATACTTTTTATTTCCCTTAGCTTTTCCCACTCAGATTTAAGGGCAAGTGGATAAGTAGTCATTTGAGTGACATTCGTCAAGCCGGTAGAAGATGATTCTTTTACTTGTTTGTTAAATTGGCCCGTGGAGAAGAGAATAATTTGAAAAGTGAAAGAATTATTTTGGTAAAAGATTTCGCTTTTCGAGCTCTTATTTTGTTAAAGAGCGTTTTACTCCGGTGGTTGAGATGCTCTCCTATTTAAATCGCATGGTTAGAGTCCTGGAGGCACACAGTGAAACAGTTGAATGCAGTTTTACTCTTTCTGTGAAAGAAAACCCAGAGGCGTTGCCTCCCCTGTCGCCGGTGGGCTCTGCTGGCAGCGGACGCCTTTCCCGAGCGGTTCGCGTGGCCACCCAGAGAAACGCAAACACCCGTGCGTAGCTGGTCGCAGATTCGCGGAGCAGCACACGCCACATGTGCAGATGCCCTTTTGGAGGCATTAAAAATGATTTAAAATAGTCCTGCCTTAACCTGGGCTAGCCATTAGTGACCTTCAGAGGCTACCTTCATTCTTTCTGTCACGAGGGTATTTTGCGGTGAACTTTAACTGCTGTGAACTAAGTAGAAGACGACCAGCTGTAGTCCTCTCGCAAGAGCATGCAACTTTGGAACCCCCAATTTTGATGCACCCTAAGCTTCCACGCCACTGCCCTCTGAAACAGAGCACGCCTTCCAGAAAGTCGCACTCGTGTCTGTGTCAGGTTCAGAGTGTGACCCCTGGAGAGGCAGTGACATTCACACCTGCCTCGTGGCTTCGGAAAGCGGGATTTGTGCCCGGGCCGTGCTCACGCATGTGCGAGCTTGTTTATCTGTGTTCACACAACCGTAACTCAGTGACCCCAAAGCCACGTGCTAGGATGCTGTGTTTGGGCCACGCATTTCAGAGTTGCCCGATGGAAACGAATCCCTCCGTCGTGACAAGTCATCAAACATTCATCACACCTGATGAAGAAAAGTATATGTCCCTGGTACATTGGAGAAAATGATGACACCTTCAAAGAGGAGTCCCTTTTCCATTTTAGGTTTGGATTGCCACTTTAAATATATTTTATTTACAATGCTTGATCTGTATTTGTGTATGCTGGTACGATGATAAAAATCACTGTAATACTTCATTGCATTTTGCTGGATGCAAAGCTAGGATGTATTGTAACAAATGAGACGAATGACAGACTTCCCTGAAAATCAGGCGTGTGAATTTTAAATAGTTTTTGGTAAGTTATTAAGATGCTGATTTCCTACTGTGTGATATCAAGCATGTTATTTTCTACTCAGTAAACAAAAAAAACGAAACCCTTAATGCTGTGAACTGTTCATTCAATATTTGGAATAAAAGAGCCCGTCTCTTCTGATGCCTTCGGTGAAATACCGACCCTCTGTGTGCACTCGCCGCGGGGTGGGGGGAAGGAGGGGTGAAGACAGAGAGGAGAGGAGAGGGCTGCCCCCCTGGGCTTGTCCCACCTTGATGGGAGTGACTCTGGAGCAGGGAGGGTTCCGTTAAACGCTGTACCTGAGGCGCCTCCCAGGACCTGGCCTGTAATCGGTGTTTAACACGTGGCTCTTACACGGGTGGGCTCCGTTCCCTGTTCTTGAATGGGATGTCAGTCAGGTGGCAGCCACAAGAGAAAACACAGGAGAGGCTCAGGAAAACCAAGCTTATTATACTAGCGGCTTCTCAGAATGGGAGGCAGCTCGCCAGCAGGGCCACGTGGGGAAGCACCAGGGTGGTCAGGAGGCAAAAGACAAGTGATGGGGGGGGGCGGGGCTGAGGCCACGGCCTTTGCTGGGATTTCTGCAGGAAAGGCAGGGCAAGGTGAACAGCTTAGGACTGCCTAGTGCAAATCATTTCAGTGGCCTCTGAGCTATAGGGGTGGCCCTTGGTTGCCTGATTAAGGCAGAGGACTAGTGCCTCCTGGGGGGGTGCACAGGCCAGACAGGAGGCCTGGCTCTGGATCAGCTAGTTTGCACATCCCAGGCGTGCTTCAGCTGGGCCCTTTGCTATCCCTAAAACATGGCCAGCCCGTCTTTCCCAGCCAGCAAGTTTTTTAAGATCCCAGAACACTATAATATACGTAAAATAAAAGACACGATACAGGTTCCCTTGCGTCATGTCCACTGTCCTCATTTTTTGGATACTTTCTGTGGTATACCCGATTTGTCTCTCATTTTGAACAAATCAGTCAAAACCCTTGGCGAGTTTACCCAGATCACCTGAACGCCGTCGTAACTCCTATCGATGTTGTGCATCGTCGACACGACAGGATGCCTGAGGCATCCTGTTATTTACCTGTGTGCGTCAGCCTGAGTGTTTCGGGAATAAGTGTAAGAATATTGGTCCCTCTTTGAAATGCTTCAAAGATGTCTCTGGTACTCTGGTACAGGGTGCCGGGCTGAGCTCCTCCTGAAGCCCAGATCCAAACAGTTCATCTCTTCACGCCTCTGTATCTTAAAAACAAAACAAACTCTCATTTAGCTGAACATCACAGATTTATTCCAACCCTGATTTCAAGTTGTAGGTGCTTTTATCTGGAAAGCAAAAATCAGTATAAACTGCATCTTGGGCCCGGCGATCCCCACCTGCTCTCCCATCGCCACTTTGTCTCCGAGGAGCCAGTAGGCTCTGCTGTTTCCATTCGGTTGTGCAAGCAGCCCTCACACATGCGCCGGGGAAACCAGTTCGGTAGCTTGCATTTCCCCAATGTCTCAGCTGTAATCACCTGAATATTCAAAATACTTCCTATCCTTGTTTTCAAACCCTGATACACCCCACCAGGTTTGCCAGTGCCGTCATGGGACCTCAAGGAACATTGCCGATGGGTCAGTGACCGCCGGCTTTGGACCTCAGAGTGACCTTTCCTATAAAAGGTAACACAGGCAGCCCTGGTACACACCTGGGACAGGAGAACAGGAGTGGAGGAAAGTTACACAAGCCCCATTTAAAAAAATGAAACTCTGGAATCTGACTTCCTTGTTCCAGCAGGAGTGTTGTCCTAACCAGCTGTTCCAGGGAGCTTTGTGACATCACCCATCATTTCCTACTTATCTGCCTCCCCTTGAAAGTGTCTGTACAAAGCACTGTGCCCTGCTTCTACGGGTCTGCAGTGGTGAAGGGTGGCGGGGTATCCCGTCTCTGTGCTAGGCAAAGATAAGGTGGTTAAAAGCGCCACTAGAGGGCTTCCCTGGTGGTGCAGTGGTTAAGAATCTGCCTGCCAGTGCAGGGGACGTGGGTTCGAGACCTGGTCCGGGAAGATCCCACATGCCGTGGAGCAACTAAGCCCGTGCACCACAACTACTGAGCCTGCGCTCTAGAGCCCGCGAGCCACAGCTACTGAGCCCACGTGCCACAACTGCTGAAGCCCGTGCTCCTAGAGCCTGTGCTCTGCAACAAGAGAAGCCACCGCAATGAGAAGCCCGGGCACTGCCCCGCTCGCCGCAACTAGGGAAAGCCCGCGCGCAGCAACGAAGACCCAACGCAGCCAAAGATAAAATAAATAAAATAATTAAAAAAAAAAAAACCAACCCAACCAAAAAAAAAATGCCACTAGAGTCTCCTTCCTGTTTCTGACCCCTTTTTCAACTCCTGCTGCAGTGGAAGGTGGAGGTGGGTGTCACCACCACCGCGATAGGTCTTGGTGTCTGCAGAAAACTAGAATTTGAGCAGACAGAAGCTGGCCCTGGAAGTCATTGGCCCCCAGATGGCCACCGGGGGGCGCAATCTGTTTTGGTTGGCAGTTCAACCTTTAAACACATTGTCCTGGCTTGACAAAGGCCCCTCCCTGTAGTGCTTGCCTTGGAGGCCAGCCAGGTGTGTTGTGAGCTTATGGGGAGAGAAAGGAGGGACTATTCTGGTACCAAAGTGCCTTCAGTTGGCATGGCCCCAGGTCAAACGTCATTAACCAGCCTCGAGGACGGAGCAGTTTGTGGCAGCTCGTCATTCAGGTCTAAGACCCATTTAGATTCGTGGTTCTCAAAAGTATATGGTCTCAGGGCCTGTAGCGGCAGCATCAGAGCTTGCTAGAAATGCACGTTCCTGGGCTCTTCCCTGGGCCTCCTGAATCAAACCCTGGGCATGGGGCCCACAGTCTGTGCTAATAAATCCTCCCCAGGATTCTGATGCACGCTCAAGTTCCAGAGGACACACCTGAGGCCGGATCCTGTTCCCAGGAAGCCGCTTCTGTATTATAGCCGCTGACATCTAACTTTGGCCTGGTCAGGGCCACAGAAAGCTGCTGAAGGTTGGGGGCCCCTGGAAACCCAATACAGCGCCTCGACCGAGTCCAAGGTGTCCCGAGCCTTTGAGGCTCAGCTGCCAGCCGGAACCACCTTCCTGGGCATCTCGGGCCGCTGGTCCCGGCTGGGAGGAGATGGGAGTGCGTGTGAACCCGCAGACCTGGGCTCGGCCCGGATTTCTGACGGCTCCCTTCCTCCCCCAGATTGCTGGAGCCTTGAGCTGCTGTCCTGATGCCAGCGATCCTTTCACTGGTGCAGGAAGTCCATTCAGCCTTGCATTGCTTTTAATGAGTTTTGCAAGCAAGTAGCCTCTTCCGGTGACTCATTCTGCCTTTTGTGAACCGGAGATGGTGGTTTTAGGTTTCACTTTGGAAAGTAACCACGACTTCTCTGCTGCTGGAATCCGAACAAGTTACATTCATTTTGCAACAAAGAAATGTAAGTGTAGGAGCGCCAGTCATATTTCTGCTCTGATTGTAAAAACATCCTTTTCCGAGATGCACGACAGAGCCAAGCTAGGAAGAAATGGTTTATATTTTCAAGGAACACATTCATTTGGGAACTTTATATTTTTCCTTCCAGAGTGGCCTGATAGTTTCGCTTTTATTCTTTTGTCTTTTTGATTCATATTTCGGGGATATTCTAAAAATAAACAGTGCCTGTTGACTGAGTGAAGCCGTTAACCTCGGTTTTATTGAGGGAGATCTAGTTCTGGACAAAAGTTCGTGTTCTTGTCTTCATGCAGCACACAAAGGATGATAATGGAAATAATTTCTTACGCAGTAAAATTGTTTTCATCTGGACCTTCCGCAGAAATAAGTTTACGGTACCCGAATAGGCGAACCTCTTAGGACTGGAGAGCGTGTGTTAAGTGGACAAATGCTACGTAGCATCTTTTCTCCAATTCAAATAATACAGGGATCTTCAAAATGTTGCGGTGTTGAACTAAATCATTTTTATATAGTTGTATTTAAGTACGCATAAACAGAAAGCAAGAGCCCTTATACAATAATAAAAACAAAATGCCTTCAAAATTAAGAGCAGATAAAACTAAAGCACCAATGAAATTCAAATTAACCTGAATGTTATGTGGCAGAAAATGGTGTATTAAGGCTGGCGAGATGGTGCTGGGTTTGGGTTTATAATAGACGTATCCGTGTTTTATGTTTCATTTGTCAGCCTGATCCTTTTGATTTTTTGAGCATGGTGGGTCATCGTTTAAATCATTATTAACACTGACTTCTGCAAAACACAGTAATGAAGAAGTTCTTATTTCCCATTTCCAGCAACACTGACGGCTAATGAGCGGTTGCAGATTCTTCCAACAGGATGGAGGTCCCCTCAGTAAATTGTCTGATGGGATAAGCGTGGCACTGATTTGGAAATGGGGACTTTGGTATTTAGCCAGGGCTCGCACTACCATTCCATCGTCCTAATCTTCTCTGTTTGAAGTGCCCTAAAACTATCGTTTGGACATCGTGCGACATCATTCGGTACTTAACGCATCAGCACACTTGGAGGCTGGGTCTGGGGTGCCCATCGCCCTTCTCTCCTCCAGGATTCTGGTTGATGGAGCACAAGTGAAGAAAATGGGCACTCACGGGTCAGCTTTTTTCCCCAAAATGACAGAAGTTATGGAAGTTGCCTGAAGTTTCATTGGAGCGTTTAAATATCTCTTTTCACCCCCAACACTAGAAAATTCCTCCCGTCTTTGGCTCCGTGGAGAAGGGAGCGTGCCTGCCGCTTTTGGGCCCAGCTGGCCTGCACCCGCATCGTGCAGCAGAAGCCCAGCGCCCCCACCCGCCAGAGGGAACAGCGAGGATGAGGCCTGCTTGGCAGCCCCTCACACAGGGCGGGGACCGTCCCTCCAACGATGTGGAGGGTCTGATGGGCTAAATGCACATCTGCGTGCATTAAGGGAGGCAGGTGGGCAATTCTGTTTCCAGGGAACCAAAGCGATTTTGAAACTTCTAAAGGGTGGTTTTGCTTGCTTTGGGAGAAAGTTGGCGAGTGGTCAGGTCAGAACCTTTGCGTGAATTTGGGGGGCCCTGGGATGGCTTTCCCAGGGACTGGGGAACCAGGCCTGGCACCTCTCCCGCCCATGAATGACGATGGACTTGACTTGGGCCTCAGAGAAGGCCTGGCTTTTTCTTTCCGCAGAACGGCAGTACCTGGCAACGAGCATCCTTTTACAACAGTGTAAAATCATCAGCTAAAGTACAGAAATTGAAATTCAGATACAAGAAATAATTTAGGGCTGTCGATGTACAATGTATGAAAACGAGAGCTTATGAAAAGGGCAGACATTACAACTGAGCGTGTCCTGCATGTCTGTGGGAGGGTCTCACCCATGCCTGTGGATAAAATATGGCTTTTCTGAGGCCGTTTGTTTGCGGTATAGTTGATATGCCTGTTCATATTGATAAAAGAAATGTTCACATGTTGAGTTCCGGGGAAGTCATTCTGGCTTATACATGAGCTAACTCGAATTTTATGCTAATTAGAACAGCTTTCTTTGTGACCTACCAAGCATACATTGTACATCTGCTTTAATTATTAACGAAAAGGGCGCAGTGACCAGAGCTAAAGAATGTCCATTTAAAAAATAAAGATTAAACGCCTCCGTTCCTGGGACACCAATGCTGGGACTCCTTTGACGATAGGACTCCCTTCCCAGGTGCCGAGGCCATACTGACTCGCTGTGCACATGCTGGTCTGTTTTTTTTTTTTTTTTAAGGTTGAAGAAATATATCCCTGACTTATTCCACGTCCTTTGTTCTGATAAGATATAAGACTGTGCTGAAAACCTTGCTTCTCTGGAGCACTTTCTCAGAGTCATCTGGGAAGGTGGCTTCTGGGCTATAGGTCCTCAGTGTGGCTCAAATAAAACGCTTTTTTATTCTTATTAGAGATCGCTGATTGATTATTTTCTTTGACAATATGTTCATTGAAACAAGTCCTCTAAGGACATCTCTCAACTGGCATGCCGATAGGCCGCATTTACAGTAGTGCCCCTCTGAGCATCTCTTTCCAGTGTACGGAGTGCTTGCACATTCCTGAGCTCACTGGCTTGGTCCCTGCCCCCCCCCCCCGCCCCCCCCCCCCCCCCCCCCGCCCCCTTCCCCAGGCGCGCCTCAAGCATCTCTCAAGGCCTGGTGTAAGCCTCACCTTCCTATGGTCTCCATGAAGCTCTCTGGACGGCTGCCGCATGCCAGTCATTTAGTTCATCCTGACTTGCTGAGCAAGACGGAGCCGGGCCAGGAGCAGGGAAGTCTCCCTTTCCCTGTGTCATCCCACTTCAACTCTGAGCCCCGTAGAAGGACAAGCTCTTATATTTCTTTTCCAAAGCAGTGATTGCAGGGCCTGGCGCCCCATTTATGTCCAGAAAGGTTGATTTGTAACCCTAGTCGGTCTTGCAGTCTTTCCTCACGGGCACCAGCATCCTTCCTGGGCATGAGTTTCCTCATCTGTGAAGTGGGAGAGCATCGTTATCCCTGCTGGCTCCACACGGTTGCCATGAAGCAAATAATGGCACAAAATTACGGGCATGTCCGTGCTTTGGACATGGCACTATCCTAAGCTTTATCGTCATTGCTGTTTCAGATCACTTTTTACATTCGCTCTGTTTTACTGAGGAGAAAATTGACGTTCAGAGAGACTGTGATTGGTCGAAGGTCCTCTGATAAGTAAAAGGCAGAGCAGGAACTGGAGTCTCCAAATCTAGCATGATCTCAAGTGTTAACAGGCCCTGTCCCACTGCACCCACTGAAAGTGGCAGACGTATGGGTGGCCACTGGGGCGATGGAGGTGAAGTGAGCTAAGATCAGAGCAGCCCCACGGTGTGCCCAGAACTCTACACACAAGAGAGGCACCAACACGTGTCCTGGCTGAGCTGATGGAGACAAGAGGACACAGAGCAGGGATTAGGCCGTGAGAAAGACCTGAAGCATCTTCCACAGATTACTCAGGGTTGAATCATTGTGTGTGCCGCAGTGCCTTTTCGAACTAACACATTTTGAAAAAGGGGGTAAGCGCTTCCTGTTTCGACCAGAAACGAATGCAAACCAGGCCCTGTTCCTCTCACCAAGCAGAGCTTGACCTTTCGATTCAGAAGTATCTGCAAAGACCCAGTTCTGCTTGGGTGGGCGAATGGAGCACGTGTCACTGAAACTCCTGCCAAAGACACCGACTCTGGGCTGCACTGGAGGACTCGCCAGGCGCCGTGAAACCTACCGATTGGACGCACCAGAGTGTGAACCGAGGAAGTAGCGTCTGGGGCGCGGGAGTGAGTGAATGGTACCCGTCTTCGGCCTTCTGCTCTTTGTTTGCTACAGATGTGTTACGGCAGCCTAGGAGCACAAAGGAATGACCCTCATGTTCAGTTGCTGAATTCCTGCTGTATAATATCCTGGTGGAAATGTTAATTGGTTTTGGACTTCCTGTGAAAATGGGGTAGGGCATTTGGAGACCTGAGCTTTAGGAGGTAGAGCAGAGGTGGTTAGCTGTCCTCTGAAGAGTCCTGCTGTCCTGGAGAGTCGTTGCTGAAAAACAGCTTCCTCCCAGGGACTAAGTTCCCCAGCCCCCAGCCCCCAGCCTCACATCTAGGTGGGGCTGTGTCACGCCCATCTTGGCAATGGAATTATAAGCAGCAGTGATCTGACCACCTCTGGGCCAAAGCGGTTGAAAACCAGGTGTGCCTTTTTCACATTCCCTGTCTCTCTGCATCACTGGAAGCGAAGGTCTCCAGGGCAGAGCCACAGGATGGAAGGAACCTGGATCCCCGACTCACTCTGTAGTGGGCCGCCTACCAAATACGCAGATGAACGTTGCAGAGGGAGAAATAAGTTTCCATGGTGATAACCTCTGAGATTCAGAGGTTTATTTGCGACAGCAGCTGGTGCTACCTAACTGATCCACAGAACGAGAGAACAGATGAGGGAAGGGATTCTGGTTGGAGAGAAGCACGATGACAGAGCAGTCCTGGGGAGGGAGGTGGCCCAGGCCTCCTGTGACAGCGAGGTCACTGTGCTTTAGGAGAAGTGGTGTTTCATCCTGAGTTCTGTGTTTTCTTTTCCTGTTTGTTAAAGAAGGATTAAAAAGGAGGGAGGTATTTGACAATGTGAAAAAATGCTACTGAGAAGCTTTCTTCTCCCATAAGATGTTTTTTTGGAGAAGGGAGGAATTAGAACTACATTGAAAGAATAATAAGCAATAACAAAGGAGCAACTCTTAGCCCCAGGAAAAGTAAAAAGTTACAGAAATACAAAATATCATGGCGTTTATACTAGGAGGTTTGGGGATGGGAAAAGAGGGCATATGAAAGATAAAATCTTCATCTGTCATAGTAAGTCAGTAAGTAGTATCTAAATTTGGTTAATGCAAATATTATAGTACGTTCATGTTATTTAGAAATAGAAAAAATGAAATACCAGAATCAACAGCTGAAAGAGTTGGAAAGGCCCGTCTCCAAGGAGCAGAATGGGTATGTGTGTGGTGGCCAGGCCAGGCTAGAGTTTGGTTCTGTGTCTTCTAGTAACACTCTTTGACTTAGGACTATGTGAATATATTATTATGATTTCAACACAACAGATGAAAATTATCAAAGGATGCCAGCAAAATAAAGTGAGAAAGAAACAAAAAGAACAACACAGCAGGAGCAGGAAAGAAGCAGGAAGAAGAGAGAAACGACCTGCGGAGACTAGACCCAGCACCCGCCTCCCGTCGCCTCCATGCTTCCACTGTTCCTAAGGGACAAGGCTTCTTCACTCATCAGACTCTTCAAGGACAGTCCTTTGTATTCCATCCAGTGGCCAGATCTCAAGAGCACCAATCCATTTATTTATAAGCTGCTTTTTGCCTAGAGTGAGTGTTTATGGGACAGTCAGTGGTGTCTGGTACCTTAGAGCTAGTACTTGACAGTAAAGCCAGCCTCTGAAGGAGTAAAGTACATTGCAGACCCACTATACGCCTGAACAAATGCTAGCTGCTAGGGGCTCCGAGGAGCTCGTGCTCAGGAGGAGATGGACGTTTAAGAAATGGTGTGCTGAGGTGGGGCAGGTGCAGCGATAGAAACGTCCAGGGTCCTAGGCGGGGGTGGCAGCGTGGAGGGAAGGGTAAGTTTATCTGGGGGCGGGGACGGTGGGTGTTAGGGAGGTGCCTGGACTGAGTCTCACTTCTGGCTGAACAAGTCTCAGACCCTCTCAGAGCCCCCCGGAGCCCAGCTCCGAAAACGTGTGAGCAGGGGGGACCCACCTTCTGCCCGCTCCCCTCTCGACCTCCGAGCCCAAGGCTGGCCGGGTGGGATCCCAGCATCTTCACACCTGAGAAGAGGGAGGCGGAGCCTTATCTGGGCTCAGGTCCAGGTCATCTCCATCCCAGCTCTTC